CCTTGCCGTAACCACCTCCAAGTGCAGTGAACGAATAACTACTTGCACCGTCAATTTTTTTACCCTTAAAATAAGCACTTGAACTATCCTTACCGTAACCACCCCCAAGTGAAGTAAACGAGGAAGCACTTGCACCATCAATTTTGTAACCCATAAAATAAGCAGCCGAATTGTCCCTACCGTAGCTCCACACAATATTGTTCACAAACGATCGTGATAGTCGTTCAACAGTAAACACATTTTGTTGCTCATCATAACTATTACCTGTGTCTTCATGGTGGTGATGACGTCGATTATGTAACAATCTGCTTTCAACAGTTGCTAATGTACAGAACCATATGAATAAGATAGAACAGAAATTCATTTCTACTCTAAAGATTATATTTCTTTTATAGTGTTTAGCCTGTTGAAATGCATTCTATGATCGAACAACTTTTACAAAAGGAAATCTTCCTCTATGTACCTTTTCTCTATGAATAGAAAGAAGAAAGGATGATCTCGATATCATTGAAGAAAGAAAAAAAGTATAAGAGACGCACTGTTTTACATAAAGTGACGCATGGATATCAATAACATGGTACTACACTCAAATATAAACTTTAGGCAAATATGAATAATTCTTAGAAAGAAAAGATTTGAAAGGCTATTATTCTTTTTTCTTTTCTTTCCTTCTGTCGAATAGCAAAACCGTCGAAAAAATACAGTCTCGAGTGGAAATCGAATCCAACAACCAAAGACTGACTATCCGGGCCAGCACTCAGACCACTGAGTTATCGAGACACACTTTCGACATGTATTATTCGACGGTAGTATCATGATTATGTTACTCGATGATTATTTTGTTATTCGACAGCAGGAAAGAAAAGAAAAAAGAAAAAAAGAATAATAGCCTTTCAAATCTTTTCTTTCTAATATATATATACAAATCTCGCATCAAACTTTTCGTGTTTAATACTCTCTCGAGGCTAAAGCAGGTTCAAATTTAACATCTATGACGTTTGAAACGTTAAAGCAGTGAGTGTTGTCCAAGTTGAACTGGCCACTCACTTTTCCTTCTGTTGAATAAAAAAATAATCATCGAGTAACATAATCATGATACTACCGTCGAATAATACATGTCGAAAGTGTGTCTCGATAACTCAGTGGTCTGAGTGCTGGTCCGGATAGTCAGTCTTTGGTTGTTGGATTCGATTCCCACTCGTGACTGTATTTTTTCGACGGTTTTGTTATTCGACAGAAGGAAAGAAGAACAGAATAATAGCCTTTCAAATCTTTTCTTTCTAATATATACAAATCCTGCATCAAACTTTTCATGAATAATTCTGGTTGAGTAAATAAAAGAATCCACCACAGTTGAAAGAGGAACATGCATAGTAGTAATAACTGATAGAAAGGTAGAAGTGAAGCAATATTTTACAAAATACGCCACATGTATATATAAATATAATGGTTCTACACATCTCGATATAAGCCTCTGTTAAAGATGAATAATTCTCCTTCAGTAAATAAAAGAACGTTCTACGATTGAAAGAGGGGTGCACATAGCAGTAAAAACAAATCAAAAGGTAGAAACGAAGCCATATTTTACAAAATGTGGCACATTTATATTAATATAATGGTCCTACACTGCGACATGAATCCCTATCAAAAGCAAATAATTTGTTTGTGATATACAAATTCGAGACTCCTTCGCAGTGTAATTTTTTTTGCGCCTCGCGGTATGTTGTGGTCTTATAATTATACTTTTACCTACCGGACTAAGAAAAACCCAACATCGGTTTCGCGATCGAGTTTTTCTATCTTTCTTCAGGATCGCTCAATTTTTCTCGCTATTACTTATGTAGTTTTGCTTGTGTATAGAACCATTTTGTGCCATATCCTATTTGACCCTTTCGATCGGGCTGTCATCTACGAGATGACAAGCAGAACGTAAAAGAAAAATTTTACGTTCTGTTGCCTTCCTACATCGTACGTATCATCTTGAGGGTAAGGGTGAGACCAGCAGCCATAATCTATAAATTTCGCTGCAGCTACGTAGATCTTCAGATGGTAAATAAATCTAGATGATTCCGTAGAAGAACCACAAGACTAATTTATAACTGTCATATATAAGTACAAGACTAAATATATGATGATAAATTCAATCGGCAGTGGTGAGACCAGCAGCCATAATCTATAGATTTCACTGCAGCTCCGCAGATCTTCAGATTGTGGAAGTGGATATTCCAAGATCATGGATATCTAGAACAAAAACAATGAGAAGGAATAATAATGATGAGCAATGTTTCAGAAATTTTATTGTTAATGTAGAACTTTTTTGTCTTTATTGTTTTTATGAAAGTAATTTATTGAATAAGAGAAAACAAATCTCAAAGTTCGAGAAAGGTATGTTGCAGGATTGATTTGTTTGTTAATGTATCGTTGGCACATGTTGAGTATTGATAGAATCATTTTTCGTATTTTCACGAATGGGTTGCATTTTTTGTAATCGTTTGACTTTTTTCTTTCGTTGTCCTATGGAATAGAAAATATTTAGTGAAAAATGTTATATAAGCAATTATTGATTATGAGAATGGTTAGGTTTTTACGAACACTTACGTTGAGTGAATATGTCGCGCAGTATGTTTTTGTTGGGTCGTTTACATATTAATTCATTTTTTGTATCACGACGGTTACGAATACCGACGATTAACTTTGCTTCCACTGCTGGTGTAGTTCGAAATATATCATCGTACAGATGATGCATATCTCGTTTGAATGGTTCGAAACGTTTTTCATGTGTGTAATGTACAAATAATTTGTCCACATTATGTTTGGTAGTTGTTGTGGTAGTTATATCGTTGTTGTTTTGTTCATCGGTTTGGTCATTATCCATGTCAGCGGTAGCTCAGCTTTGTTGTACTTGTGATTGACGTGTGTTGGTTCGCCTAATAATTTGTGACGCATTAGATTAAATTGCTTTTCGTCGTCAATGAATGGTAGAAATGGTGATGTAGATTTATATTCATAGAGGAATTTATTAAATTCATACTCAATAAATTTTGATGGATAGCTAAAAAATGGATGTTTAATGGAAATGACTAGTCTTATCTTATGAACCGTACCCATTATATAACAATGTTAATTTAATTTGACGTCGTTCATAATTAAATGTTTCAAATGTTGACGAATATCTGATAGCACGTTGAAGAGAAGTTTTGACAATATTATTGAACACATGTCGAGGATGATCTGATATAAATGGAATGACGTAAGGTTCAGCTGCTGGTTTATGAAAGATAGATGTGAATAGCTGACCATTATCATTCGTAAGAAGAACATCAAGAAATGGAAGACTTTTACCAATCGTATAACCCAATTTAATATTTGGATGCCATGTATTGGCATCAGCTAAGAATTGTCGTAATCTATCTTCAGATTTATTCCAAGTCATAAAGGTATCATCAATGTATCTATGTAGATCATACTTTAAAAATTGTTGAAATATTTTTGTCGTACACTTACCGGCCAAAAAATTCGCCTGTTTTTGTTTGTTCATCAACTAATTTCTTTTGCCAATTTCACATAAAAATATTGGCTAATTTTAATGTAACTGATGAGCCCATAGCACCACCAGTAGTTTGTTTCTAAATTTTTTGACCATAAACGAAAACATTTTCCTTAAGTACAATGCACAGTGGGCATCCAGGCGGACATTAGGTGAAAAATCGAAAGTAAAGATTTTAATATTTCGGTTGTTGACAAGTATACTTCCATAATGGGGCCATCTAATCGTGTATGAATGGTTGCTAAAACCTG